TATAGCTTTTAATAGCAAGTCCGTCAGGTTTTTTAAAATCCTGATTAGCAGTTTATTGAACGCATGTTTTGAGAGCCATATAATTTTAGTGCAAACATTTTTAAACTATAGATTCTAACATTAATTTCTTGTAACAAGTTTTGCAAATAAAAATTGCCTTCGATGAGCTGTGACGTAGGCCACATGCGTAATCAAAATGTGTATGAGAAGCGGGAAGTGCTGTGAACAATGTAGCCTACCATTTACGCGTGACAGAGATTTCAAGTACCGGTATTTTATATAAATTTATGAAGAAAAGTTTTTTAATCAAACCCCAATTGTTCTAGAAAAATATGATTTAGATAAGACAAATTGATATACAAACTGCTATGCATAGTAAGGATAAATGACACTGATTCACCCGTCAAAGTTAAAGAGATATTTTAGGATAAGTTGCACCGCGAATTTGGCCGCACCATAAGCTGAGAAACGAAGCTATTAGATCTATATTACGAGGTCTGTCTCAGAATAAAGTTTCCCTCCTCCATAAAATCAAAAGTAAGCAACCAACAGCCACTAAATTTTGTGACGTCATATGACATCATGTCTTAGAAATATCAAAGCTAAATTGCAAATGCATTTGTGAACGGGTCATAGAGCTGTGACATGTCAAATGTGGTGTTTTTGTGCACTTGTCCAAGGCAAATTTGAGGAAAAGGTCAGAGCAAAACGTTGGTGCAACCTTCTCATTCTACGATGTCCGAGTTGTGATCAAATTTTCAACTCTTCTCGGCAAGTCATCATGCAGTTGAAACCCACGGTGATCTATACAAAGATTTAGGAACTAATGTCCCATCAATTCAAACAGTAAGGAAATGGATAAGCAGGGGGTTGAATGGTGGGAGATCTGACATAAAAGATGGAGTGCACACAGAAAACACGGGGAGAGAAAGGTGATGCACATCGGGGGTTTTTTTATGAGTGGCATCATACTGAGCTGGCTAGCCACACCTGGCGGCGTAACTGTAAATGGTGACTATTACAGTTTCGTCCTCAAAGACAAGCTGAGACCTGCGATCCGGAAAAATGACTCGCTTTGCTTGAAGAAGGCGTCATCCCGCATCATGACAACTCGCCTGTTCACTAGTCCAGAGTTGTGCACCAGCTTTTTGAGGGCTACCCGTGGGAATTATTGGAACACCCGCCCTATTCGTCTGATATCGCCCCATGGAACTTCACCTCTTCCCCAAGGTGAAAGAAATGCTGCGAGGTCAGCGATTTGAGGACGAGGACCAAGATTCAAGAGGCTATGAGAAAAGCACTCGGGACCTTAGACAAACGATCACTGACCACTGTCTTTGACCGTTGGGTACATCAAATTATGGAGAAATGTCTAGAAGTTCATGATTCCTACGTTGAATAGGTATTTGAATAGCTTTCTTTTCACTCCAAATACAAGGTGATTTATAATTATATGTGAGACAGCATGACAGGGAAACTTTATTCTGAGGCAGACCTCGTACATGTATGTACGAGATGTCTCCACCTAAATATTATTCCTGGTCCTCGGGAGCAAGAAAATGCGGGATCCTAGTCTGACGGGATCTTAACCTAGCCTAGGGATCCGGATTCCAAGGTGAGCAACGCCAGTTTAATTTTCAGTAGGCGTTGACGGTGACCCATGTTCAGGTCCACAAACGATAAACGGGTCTCCTTTTACTCTAAAAATGAACTGATGTAACCTCTAGCCTATAGGTGGGTTTATGACTTATCGCCTGCAGTAAACCACGTACGTGGCATATATGAGGTATGCCATTTCACTTAATTACCCTATCGATCTGATCGTGAGCCTCTATCCAATTGCCCCTCCCGTGAACCTGCTCCGGTATTTATCTTTGTCGAGATAATATCATTTGTTCATGTTTATGTACATTCACGACATTATTTTTGCTTACTTCCCTTTGTGATTGAATTGTTTAACTTGACTGGGAAAATGAAATACATTGTG